GTTGCTAGGTACTATATTATTGTTTTCGTCATGATGTCCAGACTCAACATCAACATTGAAGTGAGAAGACTAAGAGTTTGACATTCTTAGTTAGATCTAAAATTAAAATCTCAAATAACAAGCATAAAATATAGTGTGTTAATGAAATTTGTATCAAACTACCACTATTATCCTTAGCCATTAGACTCCAAACTATTTACCCTTAAAAATTGATAACAATTGAATTTAAACGCGATTTTAAGAATATATGGACTAATTCAATACAAGTGTTTATGACGTTAGATAAGAAAGTTAAAGATAGAATAAACAGCCAAACTAGTAGTAATATTGAGTCCGAGTTCAGTTATTCGGAGCCAAACACTTATGAAGAGCGATGAGCAAAACTAAGAACTTTGAATGATTATAAGAAGCAGAGAAAACAGATGTATATCGCCTTGGTATGCGTGTTACAGAGTGTCTATTAAATAATAAACTTTTCTTTTATATAGTAGGGGATTTACACTAAGTATAGTTCTAAGAAAGGTAAAACTCTTTCATTTGCTAAGACTGATTCGTTGCCGATATGGGCCGAGATTCATGTCGTGATACCCGGTTGGGCACGAATATCACGCCCCTTCATTAATCATGCATGGATGTTTGGTGATGCCCTCTGAGGTCATGGAAATCGAACCGAGGGCGTGGTTCGTCCTTGGCTCCAAGGGCAGGTACATTGTTCGGGTTGATACGAGAGGCTCCTAGCTTCGATTCTGATTCCTTGTAGTTACATCCTTGCTTCGTTTGACCCATCAGGAAATCGGAGTGCTCATTAACCTTGGTTTTACCCATGTACAATATTATCCAATTAGAAGAAGACATTATATAGTTTTAACTAAAGGTTTTTCTCACCTTGCATGATGGGCCTCTGTTAAAAATATAAGTATTTTTGATTACTTTGCTAACGATAAAGTATATTTAAATGAAATGTATAACAAATATAAACCATTTTCAATAATCTAGGGGTAAAATCTACCATTTCTTCTTTTATCTTTGTGTTTTTACGACTTGTTTGGTATGAGGAATAAGGATAATTAATCCGGGGATTAAATTTGAGATGAATTTATCTCATGTTTGGTTGGATAAAATTACGGTATAACTAATTTCAATATTCGTTATCTAGAATTGTATTGTTTTTTCAATCCTTATGGGAAGGTGGAATAACAATCTGGAGATAACTAATCCCGGGATAATTAATGTTGGATAACAAGAACTCAGTATAGTATAATTTTGTATTAGTTATATAGCTGAGGCCCAAAATGTAATTATTGGTAGTGTTGTAGTTAGGCCCAAATTTTGTAAGTATTGTTTCTTCAGTTGAGACCCGACCAATGACACATTGTATATAAACATAGGAGCCACATCCAGAACCTTCGGATGGTCATTTTTTCTCTATACAGAAATATCTCTCAATGTTGTTTCTCTCTCTAATCTATTGCACTCATTTTATATTTCCTTCCGCAAATTAAACCTTCCAATAAGCTTAACATGGTATCAGAGCAGCGTATCCGGGTAGATAGGAGTGCGCTCTTCAATTTGATGTTCGTTTTGTCCATTTTTTCATGCAGTAAAAATTTTGAGGTTTTCTATTAATCGGAGTTTGGCCGGAGTTTCGACTTTTGCTGGTGTTTTTTTCCATTTCTCTTGTGCATTTACACTATAATTCCTTTTCTCTGCCCTATTTCACGGGATTTATGTTTTCGTGGTCTAGCATAGATATAGTCAGAAAACCCTAATTTTTCCCTTCGTGATGGGTTCTACTCCTTCTGATAAATCACCTACTGACTCCACTGCTAATTGTGATTGTGATATATTGCCCAATGAGACAATTGTTCACAATTACTCCCTTTACATTCATCCATCGGATAATTTGGGGCTTTCACTAGTAGGGAGTACTTTTTATGGCACAGGGTATAGTGACTGGAGAAAGAGCATGTGTATTGTTCTTTTTGTCAAAAACAAGTTATATTTTATTAAACTTGATTGTGAGAGGCCACCATTGAACTCACTTGTTTTTCATCAATGGGATAGGTGTAATAACATGGTGATCTCTTAGATTTATAATCTTCTTTCTCCAACAATTCGTAAAAGTGTTCTTTACTGTCAACTTGCTAAAGATGTATGGAAAAAGCTGGAAGATAGATATTGACAACCTAGTGAGTTTAGAATTTATCAGGTTAAGAAAGATCTTGCCTCCATTTCTTAGGGTTCTCTGAGAATCCCTGAGTATTATGCCAAGATGAAGAGTGTTTGAGATGAAATCAGTACTCTAATAGTTCACTCTGAAAGTCACTGTACTTGGAGAGGGGGGGGGGGGTGGTAAAAAGGATATCCAGAAGCTTGAGGAAAATCACAGGATGTACCAATTTCTAATGGGTCTAAATGAGAGCTATGCAAATGCTATAAGCAATATCCTAATGATGATCCTTTTCCTTCCATCAATAGGGCATATTCTCTTTTGGTAACCGATGAACGCCAAAGTGAAATTCAATCTACTATCCCTCAGTTTCCATCAGAGTCAGCATCTTTTTCGGTGGGGTCTCAGAAGTCATTTCCTCCCAAAACCATGTTTGATCCTAGGAGAAACAATGTAGTATACAGTTATTGCAACAATCTTGGGCATACAATGGATAAATTCTACAAAAAGTATGGGTTCCCTCCAAATTTTAAGTTCACTAAGAGGATAGCTGCTAATGTTCAGACTGAATTAGATGTTCCCAAGCAATTCAACCAGCATGAGCCCAAGTAGTTCACTCAACCTGCAACTTCAACCCCAAATGCTCCAGCCATTCCAGGGTTGACACAAGACCAGTGCAACCAACTGATGTCTCTTCTTCAACAACATTATATGTTTGATTGGGACTCTTCCTCAACACCTACTCTTATTGTTTCTGCAAATTTTGCAGCTATTCTTAGTTGCTTTTCGAGTAATAGGCCTAAATGTTAAACTAATACTTGTTTGTTTTGTAAGGTTGATAAAACATCTTGGATTCTAGACTCTGGGGTTACTAACCATATGACCTCTCATAGTAACCTATTACAAAATATTAAACATGTACCTATTCCTTACTTAATAACCTTACCTAATGGTTATAAGTAAAAGTAACATGTGTTGGGGATTTACCTTTGTCCAATGATGCTATTTTGAAACATGTCCTTCTAGTTTCTAGTTTTCAGTACAACCTGATCTCTGTGCACAAGTTGGTATCACAACTAAAATGTTTACTAATTTCAGTCCATATTCCTGCTTTATCTTACAGGGCCTTTCCATGAAGAGGCCTCTAGAATTTGGTAAAACATAACATGGATTCTACATTATGCACATGCCTTCTTCGGTACCATTTACTTCACTTACTACTGCCCTCATTCCTCTGCTTTTACTTGTTCAAGTACATCCATTTTTCTTATTTCCAATAGACATAGTGTGGAGTGTTCTGTTGCTTTTCATTCTTCTATTCTATTTGTAAATACCAATCATATGAATAAAATGAACACTCTTTGGCATAAAAGATTGGGACATATTCCATTTAGTCATTTAAAATCTATCTTTTCTATTGCTTTTGTGCTTTCTGGCAAACAAGACTTCATTTGCAACATTTGTCCAGTGGCAAGGCCAACTAGATTACCCTTTTCAAATAGTAAAATTCACACAAATTCCCCTTTTCAACTAATACACATTGATACTTGGGGCCCCTATCATATTCCTACACATGATGGATGCAAATACTTTCTAACAATAGTTGATGATTTTACAAGAACTACTTGGACTCATTTGCTGAAAACTAAATGAAATGCATTTCCAATACTAAAAGTTATTATTGCTATGGTCCAAACTCAGTTTCACACCAAAGTTTTAACTATAAGGTCTGACAATGCTTTAGAGTTGAGCTCCAGTTCTTCTGCTTCTTCTTTCTTTATAGAACAAGGTATTGTCTATCATACTTCCTGTCCATACACCCCTCAACAGAATGGGGTGGTGGAAAGGAAGCATAGATATCTTCTTGAAACATCCAGATCCCTTATCTTTCATTCCAAAGCGCCCATGATATACTAGGGGGAATGTGTTCTCACTGTCACTTACTTGATAAACAGATTTTCTTCTAAGCTCCTTCAAAATAAATCTCCATACGAATTGTTTTTTGGTGCAACTCCGTCTTATTCTCATCTTAGGGTATTTGGTTATCTTTTCTATGCATCTAAGCCTCCTGCCCATAGAGATAAGTTTACTAGTAGGTCTATCCCTTCAGTTTTATGGGGTACTCCTTAAAGGGTTATAAACTTCTTAGCTTAGAAACTAAATCTTTTTTTGTTTCTATATTCATGAATCCATATCTCCTTTTGATATGCAAGCCTTTTCATCCTCTTCTGCTGATTCCCTTCCTCCTAAAGTTCTTTGTGACTTCATTTTCCTTCTTTTTTCCTCTTCTTCAGTTCCTACTTTCTCTCCTTCTATTTCTTCTTCTTCTTCTTCTTCTTCTTCTTCTTCTTCTTCTTCTTCTTCTTCTTCTTCTTCTTCTTCTTCTTCTTCTTCTTCTTCTTCTTCTGGCTCATCATCTCTTCCATCTAGTTCTACATCTATCCTTTCACCTATTAATGAACCTGATTTCTCACCTATTCCTTCTGGATCTAATTCTAGTTCTTCCCCTATTAATGCACATGTTCTCTCCTTTATTCCTGAATCTTCCCTCCCCATTTCAGTGCCTCTAATAAAAATCCACTAGGACACACGTTACACCTTCATACCTCAATGATTATATTTGCACATCAGTCACGACCTCTTTTTCCCAATGCCTTAAGTCCAAATCTTTGGGTGCACAATCTTCATCACATACAGTATTTTTCTGGACCTCATACATATTCTCAAGCAACTTTAGTGCCTGAATGGAAAGAAGCAATGAGAAAGGAATTTGAGGCCCTTGAGGCTAACAATACATGCTCTGTTGTGGGAAGAAGGTCATTGGATGCAAATGGGTGTACAAGTGAAATTTAAAGCAGATGGATCAATAGAAAGGTATAAGGCTAGTTTGGTAGTGAGGGGTGACACACAAACTGTTGGGATAGATTATAATGATACCTTTTCACTAGTGGTCAAAATAACCACTGTGAAGTACCTCATTGCAGTTGCCGTAAAGAACCAATGTCCATTATTCCAATTTGATGTCAATAATGCCTTCCTCCATGGGGACTTGGATGAAGAAGTGTACATGAAATTTCCCCAAGGTATTTTTGTTGATTCTTCTCCTGCTTCTACTCAGCCATATGTTTGCAAGCTCCAAAAATCTCTCTATCGTCTTAAATAGACTTTCCGACAATGGTATGCAAAACTTTCTAGTGCTTTGTCCTTGAAAGGGTTTGTTCATTCGCTCAATGATTACAGTTTATTTACAAAAAGGACTAGCAGTTCTATACTTTTGTTGGTTGTTTATGTAGATGATATCATACTTACTGGGGATGATGTTTCAGAAATTTCAGCTTTGAAATCTTACCTTGATGACCAATTTAGAATGAAAGATTTGGGACAGCTAAACTATTTTCTGGGTATTGAGGTTATTTCCACTCATTCTAGTCTTTTACTAAATCAAAGGAAATTTATAATGGATCTCTTATCTGAACACAATTGCACTGATGTGTCTCCTCTTGTTTCTCCTATTGAGTTGAATTTGAAATTAAAAGTTGATGATAGGTTATTACTTTCTAATCTAGAGAAGTATAGAAGCCTTGTTGGGAAGTTTAATTTTCTTACTCATACTAGACCTCACTTGAGCTTTCTTGTACAACATCTCAGACAGTTACTTCAGGCTCCTCGGGTTCCTCATTTAGCTGCAACATTACATTTATTGCGTTATCTTAAGGGTACAGTTGATTATGGCATTCTAATCAATAATTCTTCCGATTTTACCTTGCAAGGGTACTGTGATAGTGATTGGACTGCTTGCTAGATTCTCGTAAGTTGTTACAGGATTCTTTATTTTTCTTTGTGGTAGTCCTATATCTTGGAAGTTAAAAAAGCAACCAGTGGTCTCCCTTAGTAGTGCTGAAGTTGAGTATCGTTCTCTAAATAAATTGGTGGCAGAATTGACTTGGTTGACTCGCTTATTAGATGATCTGGGCGTTGAAAGGGTGGCTAATGTGTCTATTTTCTATGATAATCACTCTGCTTTACACTTTGCTCGTAATCCTGTCTTCCACGAACGCACCAAACATATCGAAGTTGATTGCCACTTTTTACGAGGGAAGTTATCTGAAAGCTTGATTGATTTGCATCCTTTTAGCAGCTCCAATCAACTGGCAGACATCTTAACTAAGCCTCTGACTGGGATAGCTCACCATGGTTTTCTCTCCAAGTTGAAGGTGCTTCCCCCCTCCAACTAGCACAAGGGAGGGGGATGTTGGATATCAAGAACTCAGTATTATATAATTATGTATTAGTTATGTAGCTGAGGCCCAAAATGTAATTATTTGTAAGTATTTTTCCTTCAGTTGAGATCCAACCCTTGACACATTGTATATAAACATAGGAGCCACATCTAGAACTTTCGGATGGTCACTTTTTCTCTATACAGAAATATCTTTCGATGATGTTTCTCTCTCTCATCTACTACACTCATTTTACATTTCCTTCCGTAAATTCAACCTTCCAATGAGCTTAACAATTAACCCTAGAATAACTTGTTTCCGAACCAGCCCCTTAGACTTTTCTCTGTCTTTTTACAACTTGTTTGGTTGCTTGAATTGAAGAATTAATTTTCTCATTAAACTCAGCATAACCAGTATCTTGTTTGATTGCTTGAGCAAGGAGAATAGTTATATACATCATTTGGTTGCAAATTTTTATTTTCTTAGAAATAATATTCATATAGGTTGATTGCGTGAATCTGTATATTATTGTATGAATGTAAAATATGAAATAAAAATATGTGTATTAACGATATGTGAATTAGATTAAAAATAAAAATACCTTTAAAGTAAGTAGTTCTTGTATAATAAATAATTTCTTCATTATTAGTCAACACTAATTCAATCATTATTAATCACTACACGACAATCCTTGATTTCTTTCATTGTTAATCATTACATAAACAATTCATATTTTATTAATCCCTATACCATTAATCTGTATATTATTAATGCTTGCATAACTTGTCTTCAAACTAAATGGTTCATTAAAATTTATCTTTCTTTTGCATTAAGCCCTCTTGGTTTAATTATAAAAGAAAATTAGTCACAAGTTAAAATAAAAAACATATAGTAATTAACTATAATAATGTTAAAGACCAATATAATATTCATTTGGTAAAGCAGAGGCAATTAAAGTATTTTCCACCAATTGCCGTCAGCATGGGTGTTCATGGTTCGGTTTGAATCGATTTTTCCCTAAAAAGAAACCAAATCAAGTAAGTCGGTTTTTCAAATATTCGAACCAAACCAAACCAATTAAGTCGGTTTTTTCTTGATTCGGTTTATGTCGGTTTTTCGTTTTTTTTCGGTTATTTGTCAGTTTTTTCTTAAATATAAGACATATATTACCAAAAACATATTTCGGCGACCACATTTTCAACGTAACATTATCAAATCAATTATCCTTTGAGAAATCTATTATTTACCAAGATATATTGATGATAATTGAATCAAATAGTGATGAATAATTTAAGGACTCAATTAAAAATATATTATTTTTAACTTGAAATAAATTCTTATATTTAACAAAAGAAAACTACCAATCAAACTAGAATGTAAAGGTAACTATAAATTTTTTGAAATTTTGTATAAAAGAATACATATATATAGGTCTAATAATAAATTTAAAATAGCTACTCCTATATTCGGATTGGTTCAATTTTTTTTTATTAAAACCAAAATCAAACCAAATTTGATTGATTTTTAAATTTTAAAACCAAAACTAAACCAAACCAAAGAGTATGAATTTTTTTTGTATGAATTTTTTTTGTTTGTTTGATTTTGTTTTCGGTTTGGTTTGGGTTTTCTATTTTTATGAACACCCCTAGCAATCGGTGATCTGCATAGTGTGCGCGCATGTATTAATACTGTGTTTTTGACTTCCATATGTTTGTTCCCATGGTAGAGGAAGAGTAGAGCTTACTTTCTTCCTCTCTTCTTTTCTAATATTTTGGCATTGAGCGGTAGCTCTGAAAATCACGTAAAATAATTCCAAGAATATACTACTACTACACAGTATACACAAAGGATAGAGGATAGGGGGGTGGGGGTGNGCTTCCTGTCTCTAAAAAGAGATGAGATATTTCTTCTGGTTGTTGAGTTTTTTTGGTCGATTCGAACTATTTGTTTATGCTTTTGAATCGTTATCTGTTTGAGAAAATTATGATCCACCATTAGATACTGTGACGAGGAATGAATAAAGATTACTATATCGCAAGTAGTGATACAGAATTGCTGCTACAAATAAAGAAGAAGGAGGGACTTGTCAAAAAAGATGGGGGGATGCGTGTCAAGGCCGAATAGTTGTAAATTGGGAGGTTCAAAGAAGAAGAAGTTTAGGAGGAGAAGAAGAAAAGCCGGGGTATCTTCTAATTTGTATGAAGGGTCGTCCCTTGGCAAAATTGATGAGTCTTTCCCTTTGGATAACTTCTCCTTCAACAATCCTACTTTTCAGGGTCCTCTCTCTCGCTCTTTTTCTACTTGTGTACATGAATTTGTAGGTTTCACATTTCAATATAGATAATGAGAATGATTATTTGTAGTTTGTACTTTTGATTTTAAAGTCAGTTTAGTTGGGTTGAATGTTTAAGGTGGAAGAAAATTGATGATGTGGATGTCGGTTGATGAGCTGCTGCATTTGGATGGAAATGTTTCAACCTTTCTTTTTTTTTCATTCTCTTTTCTTCTTCTGGGATGGATTTCTAGTTTTATGCGGAGTATTGTTCTCCTTCTATTTTCCTCTAAATTGATTTCATTCTGTTTGGACTTTGGAGTGGCTGGGCAAGTGTTTGAAGTGGAGCCTTGGCGTAACCGGTAAAATTGCTGCCATGTGACCACGAGGTCACAGGTTCGAGTCGTGGAAACAGCCTTTTGCAGGAATGCAGGGTAAGATTGCATATAATAAACCCTTGTGGTCCGACCCTTCCCCGGACCCCGCGCATAGCAGGAGCTTAGTGCACCGAGCTTTTAGTGGCTGGACAAGTGTTTGTGCTGAAGGGAATATTGGTATATCCTTGATTGAGTAAGCTAGCTCATTTTTTAGCAACAAAATGTATGTTATCTTGCATACAGATTTAGGGGTTATCACAGTCTGGGTGTTAAGATAGAGTTATAGTTAGTGCAAGTCATTTAAACACTGGATTTGTGACCTCAATTCACTTTTGAGGTAATTGCAGAAACAATCAGACTTATATTTCTCTTATACCTCAAATATGTGATGCCTTCTTTTCTATGTTGTGTACCCATGAGTAAATTCCTAATGTTGCTGATGTTCTTGTAATGTCACTTTCTTTCTCCAAATTGTGTTATGTGTGTTTTGCAAGTCAAGATGAGATTGTATGTTAGCACATAATAGATATGTTTTCCACTATATCTTAAACGTTCCATCTGTCATTCGTTCAAAAGGATCTGGTATTGTTTAGTTTCTATGGCTTTATCCTAAAGCTGAATAGTATTACAATTAACCTTCTCTACCGTTTGTTGTTTATTATATCAATAACAGGAAATATTGACGAGGCATGGTTTGATTCTGCTGCAATATTTGAATCTGACTGCAGTGATGAAGATTACCAGAGTGTTCCTGACGGTATGGCATTCTGATTTTCAACCTGGTATTCCAACTGTTATTAAAATTTTAATTTGTATAAACTAAGTAATACAAATATAAACACAATTATTGCAGATATGCTTTCTCTCAACAGCTTTGAGGGTGAGCAGACTAGTGTAGCTTCAATGAAAGATGCTAACCATGGTGATACTAATATAAATGTCCACGTCCAATTATCCTCCGAACTGAAGAGGCAGGGGGAATTATTAAGCAATCTTACTAGCAGTTCCGACAGTTGCTCCAGTAAAACTGTAAAGCAACCAAGCAGTTTGGTGCATCCAAAAGAGGTGGATTCTCGAACAAACCTTGATGGACCTAACGGTGAGGTGCGGCCTGTTTCCCTTGATGAGATATCGTCCTCAGAAAATGAAGGAAGTGAAAGGGGGGATGGTTTGTTGGAGAACTGTGGAATTCTTCCAAACAACTTTCTGCCTCGTCTTACCTCTACTGTTGTGCCAGTTGAGAAGAGATTTTTCAGCTCTAGTCCTCGAAGTTCAAGGAAGAAAGCTGCCTTAAAACTTCCCTTTAAATGGAAAGAAGGAAATCCTTATGCCACTCTACGTGAGTTTCTATATCTAGCTTTTGATTTAGTTGCTTGGCGCATAGTTCCTCAATGTGCATCACATGATGGATTAAGTTTGAATATCACAGTGCTACACTGTTGTTTTTCATTTCATTGTTCATAAGCACCTAATAATTTGAAGCTTCCAGACCCTATTTGAAACTGCTGAAGTAAATAAAAATATTACGGGTAGGGTATGAAAATGAATTTCTTATAGAGACACGATTCATTGCTTTAAATAGTTTTGATTTGGAACAATCTATTGTCTTTGGAGCTGTCGAACTTTCCTGCACTTCTGAAGCACGAGGGGGGTGAAGGGGCATCCTTGTCAAGGACCTTGATTCTCTGCTTTACTCGGAGCAGAACGGATCTTAATAATCCACTTCTAAGTTCTAAGGGAAAATCTAGTTTCTCAAAGTCCAATTTTGACCTCCTTAGACTCGTTTCATAAATCAAGCTGTAAAATCAAGATAGGAGGAAAAGAAGAGAATAACTATGACAGAGGAGAGTAATCCTTGGCATCATATGTCTATCTCTGCGCCTGAAAACCGACTGTTTGAAGCTTAGATAAATGTTTGAGCATGAAAGTTCTCTATAAATTTTGATTTTAGATGAGAAAAATGATGGTTCAGTTAGCAGTGATCCCGTCACCAGAAAGGAAAAGAGAATACAATGAGCTAATTTTAATTTGTTTTTGGGTACAGTTGCATCTAAATCCCTGCTTCAAAGGCCCATAGCTAGTAGCCAAGTACCAATTTGCCCATTGGAGAAGAAGTTGCCTGATAGTTGGTCCCGTATTGAACCAAGTACCTTCAGGGTCCGGGGAGGAAACTATTTCAGGTAATGCTTGCTTCCATTGCACATACTTACAGACACATAGGTAAGCACTTATTTTATGAGCATAAAAAAAGCTTAGGTAAAGTCCTTCCTTCGGAATAAGATAAAAAGCATAGGGAAAATCTAAATGAGCATAGTTAAAGATGTGTTTTGTGGACGTTGTAGTTATCATTAGTATGTGCATACATGCTATCTGCCACTGCAACTTTGTTTATGTTGTATCATTCACATATTGTAATTTCTGCAGGGACAAAAAGAAAGAGTTTGCTGCAAATTATGCAGCATATTATCCTTTTGGTGTTGATGTATTTTTATCTCAAAGAAAAATTGATCATATTGCTCGACTTGTGGAACTTCCTGTCATTGAACACTCTGAGACACTTCCATCCATTCTTGTTGTGAATATTCAGGTATCATTTATTTTAGCTGTATAAGTACTGTATTTTTTTTTCTCCATTTGCTCTAGCTATCAATAAGTTGGTCTGATGGTTAGCTTAAAGGTTTGTAATTTCTTTGCTAAAGGTGCACATAAAATGTGTTCGAGTTTCTTCAAAGTCAAAGTTATTCAACACAAATCCTGGCACATTGCGGTGTGTTTGGTTTACTATTTTCGGTCATCGTAATTTAGGCGGTCGTCTAACTTCTATTAGTAACAGTATAAGTTGGGAAAAAAAAGAAAGAAACTGGCTAGGGAATATCTTCACAGTTGAAAGGCATGTTTACCCATATTTGATAGCATGAAAGCTTTTCTCTTGTGTTCAGATATTCACTCATTTGAGCTGCTAAGTTGCTGCTTTCACCCTCTTTTTTTTTTTTTTTTTTTTTAACAGGTACCATTATATCCTGCCGCGTTTTTTCAGAGTGAAATTGATGGTGAAGGAATGAGTTTTGTCTTGTACTTTAAGCTTTCCGAAAGTTATGCTAAGGAACTTCCTTCTCATTTTCAAGATAACATCAGAGTAAGTTCTAGTTACCATGTCGGTTCTTTGTTTCTCTTTTAGCCTTTCTTTAGTTGTATACTTCTCCGTTGCTGCTTCATTGTTTAATCGTTGCTTCTACGTAATTGTCTTTTCTTTCATCTCAACTTGTTCCAGAGTTCTGCCTCTTGTAACATTCATTTCTCTGTTGGTATTATACTTTTTCACATTCACTTCCTCTCTATATGTATCCTCTTGTGGTATTGAGTCATATATGGCCGGTTTCCTGGCCATCATTCCATGTTTTTTTTTTTCAAATTCTATGTTTGTCAATAAACTATTGTATTCAGTTTTTACTGAACATTCTTTTTTCCTATTTAACATGTTTTCCTCCCTCCCTTTCTTATTAAACAGAGGGTAATGGATGATGAAGTGGAAAAAGTGAAGGCTTTTCCAACAGATGGTACTGTTCCCTTTAGGGAACGGTTGAAGATATTAGGTCGTGTAGCAAATGTGGAGGACCTCCGGTTAAGTGCAGCAGAGAGGAAGATAATGCATGCCTACAATGAAAAACCTGTTCTTTCACGTCCTCAACATGAATTCTATAAGGTATGATGGCCAGATTTTGTTGGTGTTCAGATTTGAGTTAGATTTGGACGTACATCGTACTCCTATTTTCATGTGGGCACTAGTACTAGTCAATAAAATTTGTTATTATTCTTGTGTCCAACGGAATGATTTACAGATTTCATTTTCTTGAAAATTAAGTCTAAGAAAAAAGATGTTAATTTCATGTAAAAATAAGGATAATCCTCAATTGATAGGGGAATCCACAAGTTTTGAGTGTTATACAATGACTAACATAATATCAGAGGCGGATCCAGGATTTGAGGCTTATGGGTTCCTACCATAATTTCAAATTAATATACAATAATAATTGGGTTCTACAAATATTTTATGAATTTCTTAATATAAATACAGTGTCTACGCAAAAGTTATTGGGCTATCGGGAACCCATATTGAATGCTCTAGGTCCGCCCCTGCATAATATACTTGATTAAGAGTCTACTACTGGTCTGAGATTTTCTTTTTTTAAGAAAAGAGCACGAATCATTCTCTTGGTGGAAAACTTAATTACATGGCCTTTGCCAGTTCTCATTCGAAAGAACATTCATATTTTTATTATATAAAGTATGTTGTTTAACAGCGTAATATGATCTGATTTTTCTTAGAATAGAATGCATAAAATGTTTAATTTGCAAACGTTGTCTCATTTCTAGCATATTGAAGGAGAAATATTAGGTTCTTACTGAGTTGCTAATGGTCTCTTTGTAGGGAGAAAATTATTTTGAGATTGATATAGATATGCACAGATTCAGTTACATCTCCAGGAAGGGTTTTGAAACATTCCTAGATAGGTTAAAGCTCTGTTGCTTGGATGTAGGCCTCACAATTCAGGTGACTATTATATGTTGTCTAATTCAATACTTGTGTCATTTTCCTCTTCTTTTCTTTTTCCGATTTGGAGATCAATCGTAAGCAATATTTTTAACTTTTCAAATCAGGGTAACAAAGCTGAAGAACTGCCAGAACAGATCCTATGTTGTGTACGGTTAAATGAAATCGACTATGTGAATTATCAGCAACTGGGGTTGTAAAGAGATCCCCTTGAATTGGTGCACAAACAGTGTAATCCACAGGATATGGCAATTAAATGAAGTTACTGTTAGCTCATTTGTGTACTTGCTGGTGCCTTCATATCTCCCCTTTCTCCCAATTGACAGAATTCTCAGCGTCTCCGTAATGCATTATGAGGATATACAGGTAGCTGGTTTCATACAAGAATGGACCCTGTAATTTTGTTAAAAAATTCATTTAGTATGTATAAATAATTTATCCTGATCCCAGTAAACTGCCTCCTTTGAAATCCAGAACCCTTAATAAACTCAAAATCCTAGCTTCGCCTCTGGTTTCGTAGGAACTCTTTTAAGATGATTTCTTGCATGGGACAATATTGTTATATGGATCCATCTTGGACTTGCCAATATAGGGCACCATCTGCTGCCAACTACAGTTTCACATGTGTTCTGGAGAAGGAAATGGCATATCGAGCGAGCTATAGATAAACGAGCTATAGCTACTAGGGTGAGTCTTCCTCTTTGCTTCTATGTTTCATCATGCAGTCTGTTTCTGTAGCATGAACTATGGGTAAGATCGACGAATCACTTCCCATAAGGGACTTTTCAGTTAAAGAGATTATTCGAAAGTCTTAACTCTTTCAGGTTTCTCTACTTAAAACACTGCTCTGGAGTTTCTACTTGTGAAATGATTAGATATGGATATTCAGGATTTTTGGAAGATCCAACACTCCTAGGTTTTAAATGCGGTTTTAAAGCATTTTATTCTCAGATGCTGCTTGTTTTATCCAATGTTTGTTGATGCATTTGCTAGAAATAGGGTCATTTGCAGCCCTATTCCTCAAACAATAAACAATAAAAGAATGAAAGTCACCACTTTGAAATCATATAGAATGATGGTTTTTGACATGTCTAATAGCCTGTTTGGCCAAGCTTCTTTTTGGCCAAAAGTGTTTCTTTTTTTTTTTTCCGGCCAAAAGCACTTTTGGCCAAAAATTGAGGTGTTTGGCCAAGTTTTTGGAAGGAAAAAAAGTGTTTTTGAGGAGAAGCAGAAAAAAGTAGCTTCTCTCCAAAAGCACTTTTTTGAGAAGCACTTTTGAGAAAAATACACTTAGAAACAGTTTTTTAAAGCTTGGCCAAATACTAATTGCTGCTCAGAAGTGCTTTTCAAACTAATTAGCCAAACACAAACTGCTTCTCACCAAAAGTACTTTTGAAAAAAATACTTTTGAAAAAAAAGCACTTCTCAAAATAAACTGATTTTTGCAGCTTGGCCAAACGGGCTATAAGCCTATTGTACTGCCAGTTTTCTACTATCGTACAGCAATTCAAGGGAATTGAGGGTGTGAAATCATGAAATTCATAACTTTTAAGGCATACTGGTGCACTTGACTACAGTCAAATATTCATTTGTATTAATCAATTATAAAGTTCAAATAACTAAATACATTTTTGTTCAACTAGAGGAACCTAAGTTGACTTTAGCTACACACAAGAGTGTAATTAAGAAAACAAATTTCCCTAATCGAGAAGTAAATGAAGTATTTAAAGATTACTGTCCAAATATTGTTTCAGGAAGATATTGCTAGTTACTTCCATGAGAAAGAACGGATGATGCTGTAGGACTGCTAACATTCTCCACGGTCCCAACATGTGTTTTCCCAGTTAGCATATCTATAGCAATTTGAGCTACTTCTGCAAACCACTCATCCTCTGGAAGCACACTGCACCATTCAATTCCTTTTAATCAGTTTAACTTCTATACATCACGGAGTAAGAAATGACGTCACGTAAACGGGTAATTACTCTATATAACAATATTGATAGGTAATCTGGAACCTCTTATAAAAGGTTAAATTACACAATGGTGTAACAATCTTTCGCGTTGTAAGTGCTCTTCACTTAAATTCTTCTTTATTACTCTTTGTCCCAATTATGACCGGACTTTGGAGTTTAAGGAAGAAAGACTTTGGAACTTGTGATCAAAATAAGCTAAAGATATTTGTGTTGCTATAAAATTATCTCGCCCAGAGTAAAGTGAGAAATTTCAAGTTTCTAAATATAGAAATGTGTTACTATTCTTTTTGGGATTGACTAAAAAGGAAATTGGGATGGAGGGAGCAGTAACTAATGACTGTGCAATAAGCTTTGTTTTATTTGCTATGGTATACCTGTAAGGGTCAATTTTGGTTGCAGCAACTGCTTCAATGGCTCTGCCTATGATGTTTTTTATTACTTGTTGAAGATTTCGAGACAAGTAGCGCCCTTGTGAAGCAAAGAGTATCACAAACTCCATATCTAAATAAAACTGCAGTAGAAAACAGTTTCAGTTCTCAAGAATAAAAGGATAAACTTGTGCATTTACTAGACGAAAACAGAAGTTGAGAGAAATTTACAGAGATGGATGAAAGTAAATAATCTGACAAAAAAGAAAAAACCTGTTGAAGCCCAAGAGGACCTAAAGGCGTTGGCCCTTGCTCAATCTCTTCCCAAAAGGTTTGATCTTCAGAGAGCCATAGGATAATAGTTTCAGTGAGCCTCATCAAAAGAATAGTAGCAAATCTTTCTCTTCCCACAAACATGTCCGATGCTATGCCAGCAATTCTAGTCAACTTCCCAAACAGTTCCTGATATACTGGAGACGGAAACCACTCTATCTCTTCTGGATTTCCATCCATATTTATGTACATGTCCGGACTCAAACGAACACCACCATCTTCCAAGAAAATGAGTTCAAGTGCATGTTGCCTACAAAAGCTGTCACGTAGCTGATCAACTAAACGCTGGAGTCTTCGCTTCAGTTCTCTCTGCTCTGCAGGACGGGATTGCCTATCTGTACTCCGTTTAGATGTATCATCTGCCTTATTAGGTTGTTGTGAAGATGAAAGCTTGGCAACTGCACGAGGGATTAGCTCGTCTGCTAACAATAATGCATTGGCTAGTAAAGCAATCTGTTCAGATTCTGTCTCGGCCATCCTTACAATTCTATTTACAGATCCTTCAAGATTCTCATTCTCCACTGAACCAGGTAATGCTTTTATTAACATACTTATGTATGCATTAAACACTTGCATTACACCTTCCAAAGCTTGCTCAGACAACTGTAAGCTTTCAAGAGGACTAATGTCCTCGCATAGTTCCTGACAGAATGATCAAGAAGGAGCTTCAGAATATTACATCCTACAGAAAGATCACTGAACAGTGTTCAAAATATCAAGAAAAACTAACAGAGAGGCAAAGTGCACCACAATTTTTTTTGGGATAATTACATTTTTGAGCTGCCCAAATATAATAGCCGGCAAATGTATATGTTTTGAATAAGTATAAATATGCATATAATATGCATAATCACTGTATATATTTTGTATATGTAGGCTACTGCCTGCAATTATTTTGGGCCGCAGGGCCAAAAATGAAAAAGCCCAAAAATTTCACCATCCACAGGGAAAAAAAGAAAAAGAATAGGGTATATATGAGAACCAAAGCTAAATGCAAGAGTGAGTTACTGCTGATAAATGAATCACCTGAACCATTGTGTTGAATCTATGAGCACTGCTTGAGAGCTTTGGCTGAGAGACAATGACACCAGCGAGAGATGCAGTTCCTAGGGAACGTGAGCTGATTGGTGGATAAGCCAGCGACCAATCATCATCAGCAGCAATTGCAGCAGTGCACTGCTCAATCCTCTTTATATTGGCAACCAGTGCTTTCTCAACACAGGGCCTAAAGATTTTCAAGAGAACTGGTGAAAGGGCCAACCCACGAGCTTCTAGCAAAGAGCAGTGCCCGAGACTCATGTGAACACTCTCAGCAACAGGTCTTAAGCATCCTGATGCTGCTGGTGAAGCTATCACATGTCTCTTAATTAGACGAGCAAAATTCTCGGTCTGGTTGACAGCCCAAGTTACTAGCTCAGATGAATAACAAGGTTCATCATCAAATAAGGTAAAGGAATCACTTGTGGCCTGTGCAATGGTCGAGAATACAAGCTGTGAAAGAGCAGCACTATATGCTACTGCATGTGAAGTACCTGAAGGCCGAAGACCCTGCATATTACCTTGCAATTTCTGCTGGTGAGAGCTTAACATTAAGGTATGAGCACGGGGCCCATCACCTAGACGTTTTAGAGCTTGCACCGCAGAGCGAAGCTCAGCAGCACTGCCCGAAGACTGGAAAGCAGCTTCTGCTAACTGTGCTGCTAATTTTTGCTTCTGTTCAGTGATAGCTTTCTGCAATGATAATAATGCCGATGGAGTCAATGTCTGTTTACTACGAGAATCCTTTGCCATATGTTCACCTTCATCCAGCACATCCAAAGCTTCATCCACTCTCCTCTCAGCAAGCAGCACTTCAAGCTTCTCTATAAATTGTCCTAACCAACTCTCAGAATTGGCGGCATCTCTGTCACCAAAATTAGAACTATCATCTTGCGTCAAACCCTCAGAGCTAGACAGAGAATCAACATTAATTCCTTCAGCTAAACCATGGACAATTGCAGCTCGAGTAGATAGGAGATTTCTCAAGGCAATAAGCTGTCCTTCAAGATTGGAGATTTCCCTTGATGTGCTGCATATATAAAACGTATAAGAACAAGTGATGCACCAACAGCCTAGATACACTGCAAAAGGAGTGATAGTGGTTGTTTCAGCAGCAGATGAATATTTTACGAGTAACTATAGTTCGAAGATTCAAAGTAGTCACTAAGATAACAACACCAACAACAAAAACAACAAAACCAGTGTAATCTGACAAAGTGGGGTCTGGGGAGGGTAGTGTGTACTCAAAGCTTAACCCTACCTTGTGAAGGTATAGAGGAAGTAGTCACTATGATGGAAACTGAAAAACCAAATAAACTTTATGCTTACTGGCATTTATTCCAGACAAAAAATGTTCCAACTTCATGTGCATAAAACCATAATTCCTAGAAAACAGGAGAAAGCCAAATTCACAGGCAAAACCTTGCCATATGGAATCAACATGACTAATGAATGCACCTTTAAGGCAAAGTTCAGTTCTAGGCAGAGATATGTTAAATTGTGAATAGCTTTCAGTAAAGCTAAATGAACTTCTAGCTAGAGAAGTGAGGTTTAATGCAAGCAATGCTCTAATTTACTTTTAATATAAGAGATTTACTCCAAGGCAAGTCTAGTTTAAAGGCAGATATGTGAACAGATCTTCAAGATCTAAGAATATATCTAGCCATGGAACGATATTTCAATTCTTTTAACAATATTAACTCTACGACGAGTCTAATGTTTTGGTCTTTTACTCCTTTCAATTCCAACTCGGATTCATTTCCACCAACAAGATTATTCATAACAGAGCGGCGAAAAATGTGGATTGGAGATATTGGCTCATGCATCCGTGCTGATCTTCAAAAGCATTCACTTAATTGAACAGGAAATAAAAATGATCTGTCATTTACATTCTAAGTCCATTTTATCCTTTTTAATCAGCTACCTCTTAATTAGTAGTATTTGAATAGTTATATTTAATCATTCTATTGACACAGCTATATGTATAACTCATAACTGTCTGCAACTCTGAGTTATAAAGTACTGCTATGCCAGAGTTTGCTTACCGTATGAAAGCGGCATAATTAGCATAAACACTTTTCCGCATTTCCTCTGCGGAAGCCTTCCTCAAATCCACAAGGTAATGGCATAAATGCCTTATTTCCTGTAAAAAATCCAAAGAGTTTCTTTACCTTGCAACTTATTTTTCCAGCAAAATAAAGCTACTAGCTTATACATATTGACGGCTAGAGTAGTCATTATTTGACTACGCAATAAATAAATAAATAAAGCATGCAAATCGCAACCAAGCATACAAATAATCGTAGCTTCACTTTTCAACAAAAACATGTCAACAAATTTTTCTCATACCCAGAAGAAACAGACTAATCACATCACTGAAAATTCTAAATAGAAACGCTCCCAGAAATGAAATAAACTCTCTTTCAGACCGTGATTCGACTATTGCAGACGCTAATTCCCTATAACAATCACGTTATATTTCCCAAGAATTCCATCTCCTAGTCATACTTAACAAGAAAATAATGCAGAGGTTCTGTTACTTTTTCACTCATATGACGGCATCGATTGGTGACATAGGAATCAGGATCAAAACCAGAACCTTTAAACACTTTGAGCTTATCGCTAAGTGATAAATCTTTCTCCTCAAAATCTATTGAATCTCCTATGCTTGACGAGAATGAACCTCCATCCATCTTTCTCTCTGTATTTTTCTGCCAATCCCACAGATGCAAAAGAACTAAAAGCTTTGAGGAAAGAATATGAATTTGATCACGAGATCAACACGTGATTAATTTAGGATCACGGTGGACTCGCTCCTAATTACCTTCTTTTCGCGCGCGCTCTCTCTATATATACTCGATAATATTAAAAATAAATAAATATTATAAACATTACATTTGAATTAAAAAGTTCAATTTTTTTTTAAAAGTTTTTGAAAATAATAATAGTTGGTCCGATTTAGCTAATTTGATAAATAAATACCTATCCCCCAAATAAACTCTCATACATCTCGGTCAATATATTAAACTTAAAATTCTTTCTTATGACGTTTTTTAAAAGTAAGTCCGATTTGAATTAAAAAGAAATACTTTAATCATTTATGTTCTCTCGAAAATATTAAAAATTTGCAAACATACTTTGCGTTTTTGCTGTTGAAAAAAATATGTTTTATGATTTTTTAATTTATTCATGAGTTAGAATTTCTAACTAATAAGACTCCCTCCGGTTCACAATAAGTGACCAATTTGCTTTTTCATTTTGATTCAAAATAAGTGTTCAATTATGTAATCAAAAAAGAATTCAATTTGTTTTTACAAAATAACCCCTATGTACATATCCCTAAAAAGTTTTCTTACTCCTCACATTAAATGTTTAATTAGGGGTAGTTTAGTCATAGTAGGTATTGTATAGAATTTAGTATTTCTTTAATGAACGTGCAAATTAGTCACTTATTGTAAACCGGAGGGAATATTAGTTAAAAACAACTTGCCACACTCTATATATGGCATGAAGAATGATGCCTAGACATGATGCCAGAATTATGTGCAACTAATATTAATACCAAAAAAAAAAACACTCAAATAAAAGGCAAGGGAATGAAGGATAAACTGACATAAATACACTGCAAATAAATAGACTTGATGAATAAAGAAGAAAAATATATGTTCAAGGAAATCTCCAATTGCGGAAGTCTTTTAACGAAGGCAACATACTTCGAAGATGTGATTCTTGATTAGATGAAATATTAGGGCTCCTACATGATTCAAATAAGGAATGATGTAATACATAAATTTTAGTTGATTTTGAAGTGCTAAATATTAGGAAATAATTATTGTAATGATTATTATATTTGGTGTAAAATCTATTTTTAAAGGGTAAAAAAGGCAAATGACATTTCACAATAGAATATTAAATTTGACTCAATCATACTATATTATAGACTTATTTACTATCACTAGAGAGGTTTTAAGTTAATTATATTTACTATACAAATTTATGAATTATATACAAATTAGTACTCTAATAAATAAGAATTCCTTAATATTAGGGCATTTAATTAGTAAACGAATCCCATCCCTCTTTCTTCGTCTCTCTCTCTCATTTCCAGTCGCTGGGTTCACGTTTTTGGTGGAGGAAGCTGCTCGTATCGGTGGTGGAGTTTCGATTTTCAGCGACAGACTGTTTACATGGTTGCATTCTGGTTTAGGGGGTTGTTTTATGGTGGAAGAGCTAGTAATAGTGGAGCTAGGCGTGTTACTGGAAACAACAATCTCACATGGGTTTCTACGTGTGTTTTGTGGATGAAAGTGACATGAGTTTATGGAGAAAGCTGCTTTAATGGTGCTTAGATCTAATAGCTTTAGATGAAGAAGATGAAGGCGATTGCTGCCTTTTTTTGCTTACTGTTTTCTCTGGGTACAACTAACACAATCCGTAACGATCCGACCGGTCATTTTGAGTTTTAACGCCTTGTTCGGAGGTTTGAGACTTTGAGTAGCTTCATATAATGCATTATGATTTGAATGTATAGATGATTTGACTTTCGAGAGGTTCGAAGTTGATTTGGAAGAGTAATTCTCAATTCGGAAGCTTTAAGTTGGAAGAGTTGACCAAGGTTTGACTTTTCAATAAACGACTTCAGAATCAGGAGTTTCTGATTTCAATAGGTTCGTATGGTAATTTGGAACTTAGACGTATGTTCAGAATTGAATTTGGATATTCCTAGCAGGTTTGTTCTATTTGTCAAAAGTTGTCAATTTGAAGAATTGGAGCGTTCACAAGTTTGACTAGGAGTTGACTTTGAGGTTATCGGGGTTAGATTGTTGTTTCAGAAATTGGAATAGGTCTGTTTTTTCATTTAGGACTTGTGTGCAAAGTTTGGATTCATTCTGGATTGGTTAGACTTGAA